CATTAGCCTAAAGTTGGGAAAATCATCTAACACAAAGCCTATTTTATAATAAAGTGTTGAGTATCTCATGAAAAAAAAAACATTGCAGGGGAAAACAATTAGCTCTAAAGGTTGGGATATTTCCAAAGAGCAATATGAGAGATCTTCAAAAGTTTATATTACATTATATTATTTAAAAAACTATGCAAGGATTTCAAATTTTTTGCATCAAAATAAACTTGTACTAACTTGTTACAGCACGTCTGAATGGGATCTAGTTTGAGGCACTAAGAAGGATATCAGTTTGAAAAGAGCCTCTATCAGAGCAACAGGAATTCCGCTAAAATTGAAGCAAGAATAAACATTAAATTTATGGTGAAGATTGAATGTAAGAATGGTGAAATCACTGAGGCTTTATGGAAGGCTTAGGAGGACAATGCCCCCAAAGAAACCAGCAGTTCACAAATGGATAACTCATTTAAGAAGGGACAAGAAGATTCTGAAGATGAAGCCCACAACAGCAGATCATCCACATCAATTGGTAAGGAAAAAATTAAACTTATTCATACCCTAATTGAAGAGGACCAATGATTAACAGCAGAAACAAAAGCCAACACAACACCATAAATACCTTAGTTGGTTCAGCTTACACTATTTTGACTGAAAAATTAAAGTTGAGAAAACTTTCTACTCAATGGGTGCCAATACTTTGGCCCAGGTCAGCTGAAGGCAAAAGCAGAACATTTAATGGAAATTTTATACAAGTAGGATCAAGATCCTGAAGAATTTCTTCAAAAAATTGTAACAGATAAAACATGGCTTTATCAGTATGATCCTGAAGACACAATCAAAGCAATGGCTACCAAGAGGTGGAAGTGGTACAGTCAAAGCAAAAGCACACTGGTCAAGAACAAAGGTCATGGCAACAGTTTTTTGGAACACTCACGGCATTCTGCTGTTGTCTTTCTGGAGGGCCAAAGAATAATAATATCTGTTTATTATGAGAGTGTTTTGAGAAAGTTAGCCGAAGCTTTAGCAGAAAAATGCCCAGGAAAGCTTTACAGAGGGTCTTTCTCCACCACGACAATAGTCCTGTATTCCTCTCATCAAACAAGAGCAACTTTGCAAGAGTTTCAGTGGGAAATCATTAAGCATCCATCTTACAGTCCTGATTTGGCTCCTTCTGACTTCTTTTTGTTTGCGAATCTTAAAAATCTGTAAAGGGCACCCATTTTTCTTCAGTTAATAATATAAAAAAGACTGCATTGACATGGTTAAATCCCCAGGATCCTCAGTTATTTAGGGATGGACTAAATGGCTTGTATCATCAGTTACAAAAGTTTATATTTTTTATTTTTATATTTACTGAGCACCTCCTAGGTGCCAGACACTGTTCTAGGTACTTAGGTATATACCATAGTGAACAAAACAGACCAAAAGAAACAAAAACAAAAACAAAAACAACCCAGCCCTCATGGGAAATAGATAATAAACAAAATAAGCAAATTACATAGTATGCAACAACTTGAAAAGTACTACAGAGAAAAAAATTACAGAGGGAAGAGAAATAAAGCACGGAAGTATCGGGGAGGAGCAATTTTTAGAAGGATGGTCAGGATAGGCCTCAGTAGGAGGTTGACATTTGAACAAACACTTGAGGGAAGTGAAGGAGTCAGCCATATGGATATCTTTTTTTTTTTGAGACACAGTCCTGCTCTGTTGCCTGGGCTAGAGTGCCGTGGCTTTGGTCTAGCTCACAGCAACTTCAAACTCTTGGGCTCAAGCGATCCTCCTGCCTCAGCCTCCCGAGTAGCTGGTACTACAGGCATGCGCCACCATGCCCGGCTGATTTTTATATATATATATTTTTTAGTTGTCCAGATAATTTCTTTCTATTTTTCAGTAGAGATGGGGTCTCGCTCTTGCTCAGGCTGGTCTCGAACTTCTGACCTTGAGCGATCCACCCGCCTTGGCCTCCCAGAGTGCTAGGATTACAGGCGTGAGCCACTGCACCCGGCCCATGTGGATATCTTGAAGAAAAACGTTTTAGAGGGAAAAAGTCAGTGCAAAGACCTTGAGGCAGGAACATGCCTCTGTGTACCAGGGATAGCAAAGAGGTCAGTGAAACTGCAGCCTCACTGGCTTAATGATATTAGGAGAAAAATGGGAGAGTTTATATATTAATTGCCTTAGCAGACCATGCCACTTTTCTTCCTCCTCACTCCAGTTGTGAAATTGAGTCATGTGGACACTCACGTAACATGCACCTTCCACTTTACCTCCACACAATACCCAGGTTGAGCCTTTCGGCTTTCCACATCAGTGTCAACTGTGGGTTTTTATAACTTCTGAAATATGGCAGAACTATACCTAGTTTATTTTTGTAGATTATTGTCAGGGTCCTAAAGCCAAGAATCTAAACATATCATATGAGACTGACTAGGACCAGGGCACTATTAAAAGAAAGTATTCAAGCAATCACTTTTGCAATACATAGCTGAAGTGCCAGTATTTCCTTTCTTTCTCCGACCAATCCACTTCTTCATTTCTTTCAAAACCTACTTCTAAACTACACGATTAGAAATTAACCACCTTAGTTCATAGCCATTTCCCTCTCTTCTATCATTTGTCTGTGTAGCTCATTTAATTTAAATATTAGGGAAACTCAAAATAAATTTTTCTGAAATTCCTCCCAAACACATATGCACATTGATCTCTTTCTCTCAAAATCTCTATCAAATCGAACGGGTTGTCCAAGATTGGATCCTATTATCTTTGATGACTATTTTATATTCACACACATTTATTGGACAAATACAATGGTTAATTATGGCACTAAGTCCCTTATAATGTTATATTCTCTTACCCTCATATCCATTTGTTCATCAGGTCTTGTAAATTCTACCCTACAAAAGTTTCTCAATTCATGAGGGTGTGGGGGAGAAAAAAAAAAGTTTCTCAATTCCATCCTTACTTCTTCAACCCTATTGCTAGACTTTAACCTCCCCCACCTAGACTATTTCAATAGACCCTTAAGTGGCCTCCCTGCCTTCAGCCTTCTCCCTTCCAATCAATTCCCTTCATTCCTGAGTGATGTTTTTATACACGAACCTGAGATAACTTCTTTGACCTATACGTCCTAAAAGGAAAAAAAAACCTGACATTACTCTCCTGGTTAAAACCTCTGGTGGGCAGAGGCCTGTTGTCTGCACGGCGGTGGGGAGGGACCAGCGGCCCTGTGGTCTAGGTTATATGCACCATGGCTATGACTAATGTAAGATTGCTTGCTGGTGTTTTAAGAAAGATGCCTGGACTGGACTCTGGGGTGTGCTCCGAGGGACACCTTCTTCACATAAACTCTGTACTTCCTGGAATCAATACTTGTATTTTTCAAATACTGAGTTAAATGCATCAAATTATAAAACGCTTTTCCATAATATTTTCTCACTGAGACTCCCAGGGCTTTTAATATCTCCAGAATATGTTTTTCCATTTTCCATAAGACTCAAAGGTAGCATAAGCTCTAAAATATCCACTAAAAAGTCTCCACAAAAAGTAGAAGATGAAGAGGACTCTGACGCAGAGGAGGATGACGACGAAATAAGTGAGACAGAAGAGGAGCTTGAGGATGATCCTAGTGTGGTCAAAGACTATAAAGACCTGGAAAAAGTAGTGCCATCTTTTTGGTATGATGTCATCCTGAAGACAGGCCTAGATATTGGGAGACACAAAGTGGAAGATGCATTCTACAAAGGTGAACTCAGGCTCAATCGTGAAAAATTATGGACGAAAAGCAGAACGGTGAAAGTGGCAGATACATTGAATCTTCTCATTGGAGACGATAAAGAAGCAGAAGTGGAGACAGTGATGTCGATTCTCCTGAAAAAAGTGTTTGAAGAGAAGACTGAAAGTGGAAAATACAGAGTGGTGTTACGACGCTGGAAGAAGTTAAAGTTGCCTCACAAGAGTATGTCTAAATAAATGGATTGCTTTTTAGTGATTAAAAAAAAAAAAAACTCTGGTGGCTCCAAACTCTTAGTGAGGCCCTTTAGAATCTGCCTCAGATTTATCTCAACCAGTTCCCCAACATGTCTGTGCATGCTTTTCCCTCTGTTAGAAATAGCTTGTTTCCCTTTGCCTCAATAATGCCCCCTCTTCTTTCAAGTTCCAGGTATAAAACCATCTCCTGTAACTTTCTCTGACCCCACTGAGCAGGGCTGACTCTCCATTTGCATCTTCACAATACCCTAATACAGTCTTACTCTATAGCACGTACACTGTACTAGCTGTGTGGTTACTCCTATGTCTCCTCCTCCGCTAACGTGGTGAGTTCCTTCAGCACAGAACTGTCTCGTCTATCTCTGCTCTGTACTCTCACAGGCAAAGCCAGGATCTGGCATAAACCACACACTGAACAAATATCTGTGGAACAGAATTAGGCTTTTTTTTTTTTAATCTTCCTGGAGCCTAGGGCATAGCTGGGCAGACACTCAGCTTTCAGTAAAGCTGACCGCTCACCTCAGAGCAGGCCTGACAGGGCCCCGACAGCCATACCGACAGCCGAGTCTGGCCGAGCGGCCCAGGTGAGCAGTGCAACAGCCGACTAAGGGGAGTGGCAGAGTCTGACTGACTAGGGATAGTGGCTGGACTTGACTAACAGGCTAACCGAGGGTAGTAGCGGGTCCGAACCGACTACCTGAGGGACCAATGGCAGGAAGAAATGATGGCTGGCCCGGTCATCTCCGAAAAGGAAGAAAAACAGCAAGGTAATTCCTGCGGCGACGCCAACCACGCGCTTCGCGCCTCTCCTCTCGCGGAGGAGGACGGGAACTGAGCTAGCCCGCCACGAGCCTCGCCGAGGGCGCGTGCGCAGCAGTTCCATTCCCCCCCACACACACACGTGGCCCCGCCCTCTCACTCTGGGCGGTGTGAGCTTCGCCGAGTGCGCGTGCGCGAAAGTCCCATTTCCCGCCCCTCACGCGGAGCCCTCCCCCCGCCCGATTTTCTCCCTACGCCGGCGTGAGTCTCTCAGGGTGTCTACGTGCGCGCGCGCGCAAGTCCGCCCTCTTAGTCACGTGACCCTTGCCTCCGGGTAGTTCGCTACAGGTTTCCTACCTCCAACTCCCGAAATCCGGCGTTATGGCTGCCGTCGTCCCCTGCGCCGCTTCTGTCTCTCCCCTGCTTTTCCTTCTGGGCCTCCTGGTCCTCTGCGCTCCACATGGCGGCAGCGGCCTGCACACCAAGGGCGCCCTCCCCCTGGATACAGTCACTTTTTACAAGGTAAGGGGGGGCGGCGGACATCGCGCGCAGGTGTAGCCAGGGCTCCCATGGGCGACGCTGCATACCGAGGACTGGCGAGAAGTGGTTTGTAGTAACGATCCCGAGGCTTCCCACCATCCTGTAGGCCTAGTGGACGCTGAGCCTGGGACATATCGTGACCACTGGGGCACGCACGCTCCGGGGGTCCCGGCGCACCCTTGCTTTTGCAGCATTTATACTTCTTCCTCTTTTGCAAAGATGCAGCTGAGGGAACTAAGTGCCCTTTCCCTTTGAAGGGGGCGGTGCCGGGGTAAGATTCAACCCTAGAGTTCCAAGTAAGAGAACCGGAGGGCGGTGCGAGGTCGACGCCACCCGGCTCGTCGGCTGTGGTAAGGGAGGGGGGATGGCGGGGCGAACTCGCCGCCTTAGCATGCATTTCTCTGCCCCTCTTCCTGAGTGTGGATTGCGGCCTGCTTTGCAGTTTGCAAACAATAGTCAGGTATCATGAATCTCCTTGAAAAGTGCAAGCGTTAAGAATAAGGTTCGTTCGGCTCAACCACTCTTCAAGGAACATCTTGGGTCTGGGAACAAAATGAATAAAATCAGATCAAGGAGTGGAAGAATTTGCCACTATTTCCCCCACGAATTTGGGATCCTGGCCTAGGTAAATGGACGGTTGGAAATGTTGAAGGCTGAATGCAACACCGCAGTCCCAGTCCCTTCTTGCACCTGTCTTCACCCACTAGTAGTTTTTCACTTTCTTTAGGAGGTGTGCAAGCTAATTGTTGGCAGAGACCCAGTCGTTTTATTTACGTGGTTTGTACCCATTTTAGGGAAGTGAAACCTAGAACTGGAGCTCTAAATCTGTCTCCAGTGGTTGAATCTTCCTGTTTTCAAGTGTTCCCTGTCGTGGACTTGGCACTTGTAGCTCATTCAAGGCAAAGTTTCAGGAATTTAAAAGTGTAGGAATGGCTGCTTTGTTGGTTGGCAGGCACACCCCACAGCACCCTATGCTCTATTGGCAAAGTAACACCACTACCTTACCCAGCTCCATTGGGAGTTGGGTAACATCACACTCCAAGTGTGACTCAAAGGGAAACTACACTCCATAAATTTAACAGCATTTCTTACTGAGACCACCCTGGTCTAGGCTAACATTACAGTAGCCTTCTCACTGGTCTCCCTGCTTTCACTCTTGAACCTCTACACCCTACCCTAGCCTAAGTCCTACAGGATCTGACCCCTTGCTTCCCTCTCCTCTCTTCTACGCATTCTCCTCCCCTGTCCTTTGAATGATCCTAGCTCATTACTTCCTTAGGGCATTTGCACTAGCTGTTTCTTGTGATTGAAATATTCTTTGCCTAATCTTTGAAAGGCTGGTTACTTCTCATCATTCAGGTTTAGGTTCCTCAGACTTCCTCCTTGATTTCCCTTCTTTCCAGTCTAAAGTGCCAGTCACAGCCAGATGTGGTGGCTCAGGCAGGCTTATAATCCTAGCACTTGGGAGGCTGAGACAGGAGGATCGCTTGAGGCCAGGAGCTCAAGACCAGCCTAGGCAACATAATGAGACCCATTTCTACAAAAAATAGAAAAATAAGCCCAGCATTGTGGCCCAGGCCTGTAGTCCTAGCTATTTGGGAACCTGAGGCAGGAGGATTGCTTGAGCCCAGGAGTTTGAAGCTGCAGTGAGCTCTGATGATGATGCCACTGCACTCTAGTCCAGGCAACAGAGTGAGACCCTGTCTCAATAAAGTGCCATTCACATTACCCTGTTTTATTTCTCTGTAGAGCGCTCATAACTGATTTTTTTTCTTGTCTGTTTTACCGTCTTTCTTTCACACTGCAGTATAATATGCTTGTGAGTAAGTACCTTGTGTATTTTGTTCCTGATCATCTGCACAGCATAGCAGGTTACCTGTCTCATAGAAGGTGCTCAATAATTTGTTGGATGAATGAACAAATGTTTTCTCCAGTCTCAGTGCAAATCTTATTCTTTCCCATCACCATTGAACAAAAGGGGAGTTTACTAGTGTTTTGTTTTGTCCTGTAGCCTTGTTCGTGCTTTGCCTTTTAGTGATTTCCAACATCTTTTTTTTTGTTGTTTCTTCCCCTTCTCCATTGCTAGATAAGAGGCCCAGTTTTGTTTTCTGCTGTGTTCACTTAGAATGGTGTCTGGCACATGATAGGTAGTAGTAACGGTTTTTGGTTTTTTTGTTTTATTTTAACGAGATGGGTTCTCACTATGTTGCCTAGGCTGGTTTCAAACTCCTGGCCTCAAGTGATCCTCCTGCCTTGGCTTCGCAAATTACAGGCATGAGCCACCGCATCCAGCCTAGTAACTTTTTACTCTGTGAACAAATGAATGAGTAATGAATTTATCTGTACTTTGGAAAAACAAGTTGCCTGTCTGTAGTTAATGGCAGAGCTGATTTCTACTCACTGGACACTGAGAGCTGGCAGGAAGTGGATGAGGAACAGGGAGAGACTTCTAAACAAATTAAGATAACAAGAAAAAATTCTTTATGCAAATGTTTGCCATTTAAAACCATTCTGCCTTACCGTGGTAGCTAAGGATGGTGAAAGTAAAAAATTCTATTCCAGTGTTAGACCACTGCGTGATTGTTAATATTATTCCATAATATAAGTGTAGGCCCCTTGAAGGTAGGTATACTGTGTTGTGCTTTTTAAACTTTTTTTTCCCCCGGACATGTAGCCTCTGTTACCAAAGCCTCCAGAGTACTGTCCATTCATCATGTATTTTCAGAGCATCTACCAAGCACTGTCGAGTGCTAGGGATCAAGCAGAAAACAGGTCAGATGAGGTCCTTATTCACATAAATGTACATTCTAGTGGAGAGGACAGAAAACAAACAAGCAAATAAGGATGATTAATGCAGTGAAGAAAAGGCAGCAGGGTAATGATACCAGAGTATGATGGAAATGAAGCAACATTAGATGGTCTGATTGGAGGAGTCCTCATTAGGAAGGGACGTTTGACCTGAGCCTTGAGTGATAAAGACATGACCAGGGAAAGGGCATTCCAGCCAGCAGAGAGCAAATGAAAAAGCCCTGAGTGGGAGTAAGTTTAGTGTGCTGGACTGAAATAAGGCCATTTGGGCCAGAGGGATGTGATCTGGTTTATATTTTAAGTCTTCTCTGCTTTTAGGCCCCCAGAGCTCAAGACTTTTTGGCATCTGAAGATGACCTGTTCTGGTGGCTTCTCCTCTGTGGTCCTAGGCAGTGTTAAATATTTTTAAAAACCTAAAGCCAAGTGAACATCAATATATAGTAAAGGACAAGGACTAACAAAAACATTTAAGTTCCTTTCCCTGCAGCTGGAATTATGTCAACCTGACATAATTTTTGACAGTGATTGCCTGTGATTAAAAAAACTTGACAGTATTGATTACTTGGGTTGGAGAAACAAAAAATTTGAGAAGAGAGGAAGGCAATATTACTGACTCTAACAAGGATACTTGTTAGATAAAGTTTATACATTGGGAGAAACCATTAAAAGGAAGTCCTTGGGTCCTCAGTAAATTAAACCTAGACTTAGCGTATGACCCCTGCAGTTCCACTCCTAGGTTCTAGCCAAAAGAATTGCGTACAGGTGTTCAAACAAAAAAGAATTGCGTACAGGTGTTCAAACAAAAATGTGCGTGTGAATGTTGACAGCAGCACTATTCACCGTAGCCAAAAGGGTGGAAACAACCCAAATATCCATCAACTGATACGCAGATAAACAAAGTGTGGTCTGTCCATACAGTAGAATATTTGGTCATGAAGAGGAATGAAGTGCTGATACGTGCTACAACATGAACGAACCTTGAAAACACGCTAAGTGAAAGAAGCCAGACACAAAAGGCCACGTGGTATATGATTCCATCAGAATAGACAGATCTATAGAGACAGGAAGCTAGGTTAGTGCTTGCTGGGGCTGGGAGGAGGGGCACTGGGGAGTGACTGCTTAAAAGGTACAGGGTTTCCTTTTGGGGTGATGAAAATGTTCTGGCACTAGATAGTAGTGATGGTCGTACACCACTGTTAACACACTAAATACCACTGAATTGTGCACTTTAAAATCATGACTGTTAGGGGAATTTTACCACAATTAAAACAAATGTCTTGGGCTTGACAGTTTAGGACCCAGAGATCTAGCCAAGGGGAACTGTGTCTAGGCAGACGATACTGTCTCAAACCTGGCCTCTCTAGCCAAAGCATCCTCCATGGTGCCAACTCTGTTGTAGATGATTTTGTTTGTTTTTGTCAGATTTCTGTTTCAGTGTTACTGAGAGTACTTCTGGGATCATGGGCATGGCAGGAGCCAGTGTAGTGTGCGAAGGGTTTCCTTAGCCTTCCTGAAAGGAAGGCTGGAGGAGAAGACCTAAGTATGTCAACAGCTTTGTTTATTCTGAACAGTGTTGTATATATCTGTAGTTAACGTGAACAGGTACCCAATGGGGTGCCATGCACATAGCAGGCAATCACTAAATTAATAAATGAATTAGTGGGTGAATGAATGAGTATTAGTTTGTGAGAGCTTGTCTCCCCTGTGGGCTTGTTTCCACTGTTTCTTAAACAGGGGCTCCTTGGGAAGGGGAATTAGCCCTCAAAGGTCCCCAGAACACCCCACTTGCTCAGCTCTATACGCCCTCAGGTCATTCCCAAAAGCAAGTTCGTCTTGGTGAAGTTCGACACACAGTACCCCTACGGTGAGAAGCAGGATGAGTTCAAGCGTCTTGCTGAAAACTCGGCCTCCAGCGATGATCTCTTGGTGGCAGAGGTGGGGATCTCAGGTATGGACAAGTCCAGGACGACTGGGGAGGGCAGTGAGGGAGGAAGCTAGGAGTTGTTTCCCTACTCGAGGGGGAATTCCCAGCACCTTTTCTTCTGAGCCATCCTCACAGTACAAGTGGGTTCATGGCCTCTCAAAGAATCTGGTGCCCATAGTAAGCTTAGCCTGAGCAGATTGTGGGACCATGGAACCTTAGTCTTATAGGTGCTTGAAGGGAAGGGAACCCCTCTTCCTTTACCCTCCACTCCATGTGACATTAAACTATAAGACCTTTGAGCTCTCCTTGTAGGGAACACTTGGCAGAGGGGGTGCCATGTTTCCTAGGGGACAACGTTGGCAGGTCTCCTGTCTTCATTTTAGCTTTTGTAACCCAGCTTTTGTAAACTGTTGGGTTTTGGCTTTACCTCAAATGCACTGGTGCTGCCACCAATCCAAGGGCACCTTTTAACTACAGTGACAGCTTTAATAATAATAATCACCAACATTTAGTGGTTTACAATGTAAAGATCTGCATACACACTGCATTTTTTTAAAGAGATGGGGTCTTGCTCCCTTGCCCAGGCTGGAGTGCAGTGGCACAATCATAGCTCACTGTAGCCTCGAACTCCTGGGCTAAAGGGATCCTCTCACCTCAACCTCCCACCATGCCCTGCTAAATTTTTTATTTTTTTAGAGCTGGGATCTCACTGTATTGCCTAGGTTAGTCTCAAACTCCTGACTTCAAAAGATCCTCCTGCCTCAGCCTTCTGAGTAGCTGGGATTACAGGTATGCGTCACCATGCCCAGCACATACTGCATTTTTAATCTTCACTTGAACCTTGCCTGAGAAGCAGGATGTATTATCTCCATTTTATATTTGAGGAAAAACTGAAGCTCAAGAAGCTTAAATGACTTCTCTCAGATTGTGGGGTTTGCAGTGGCTCATCCAGAACTCCACCTGTATTTAGTCCCAGGCAGTGGACTCTTTCTTACCTGTCTCACTTTCCTCCCAGCTGGGATGCCTCCATTCCCTAGTAACCTGGGAACCTACTAGAAAATTTGCTCGTGGGTAAAGATGGCTAGCACACCTCTCCAGGGCAGTCGGGCAAGTGTGACTCAACGTCAGGCCAACTGGCTTGGTGCTTTTAGAATAATAACAGTAGTAATAGCTAACATTTATTGAATGTTTACTGTGTGCCAGGCCACTGTGCTGAGTGTTATACGCATGTTTCATCCTTGTGACAACTCCACAAAGGAAGTACTATGGTTTCATTACTCCCATTTTTTCAACTGAAAAAACTAATGCGTAGAGAGGTAACTTGCTCAAGATTGTGGAACTGTTAAGTGGCAGAATTAGGATTGGAACCCCAGGTTTCCAACATTACCAGTTGTTGGTCTTGGCCATTTCTTTTTGGCAAAGTGTAAGAAACCAGTTGTCACAGCATCAGTCCTTGGGACTGCTGTTGCCTGTTAGGAAGGACATTGGAAATACTAACAGCAGCTACCACTTACTAAGCACTTAACTCTGCCCGGTCTCATGTACATATTTCCTCATTCCCTCCCCTCTCTCACTAAGCCCCAACCACATTGGCCTTTGTAATTGTTAAGTGCACTGAGCTCAGTCCTGTCTCAGAGCTTATGCACTTGCAGTCCTTTCTGTCTGAGAGACACTCTCCCCAGAGCTGCATGTGGCTTGCTCCTTGACATCCAGGTCACCCAGCCGATGTCATGTCCATAAGGAGGCCCTACCCAGTCACTCTGTCACTTTGCCCTGTTTATTTTCATCATGGTAATTTATGTTCATTTGTTTATCATCTCTCTTCTCACCCTTAGAAGAATATAAGTTCCTTGAGGTCAGAGAGCTTGATAGTCTTAATTACAACTAGATCCCCAGCACCTAGAGCAGTATCTGGCACATAGTGGGCATATAATAAATATTCAGAAGAATCCCCATTTTTCAGATGAAGAAAATGAAGTTCAGAGAGGTTAAATGATTTGTCTGATGCCACATGGCAGAGGAGGAATTCAAACCAGGGTCCATCCTTTGAACTATTACATAGCCAAGAAAATTATTCCCCTCAGGTCAAATAGGCCCCATAGCGATTTCCTGCCCTGAGTTCTTCATGGTCTTGCTCCTCATATCTGGTTTCTGTTCACAGATTATGGTGACAAGTTGAACATGGAGCTGAGTGAGAAATACAAGCTGGACAAAGAGAGCTATCCAGTCTTCTACCTCTTCCGGGATGGGGACTTTGAGAACCCAGTCCCGTATAGTGGGGCAGTTAAGGTTGGTGCCATTCAGCGCTGGCTAAAGGGGCAAGGGGTCTACCTAGGCATGCCTGGTTGCCTGCCTGCATATGACTCCCTGGCTGGGGAGTTCATCAGGGCCTCTGGCGTGGAGGCCCGCCAGGCCCTCATGAAGCAGGGGCGTGACAACCTCTCGAGTGTGAAGGAGACTGAGAAGAAGTGGGCTGAGCAATACCTGAAGATCATGGGGAAGATCTTAGACCAAGGGGAGGACTTCCCAGCATCAGAGATGACCCGGATTGCCAAACTGATAGAGAAGAACAAAATGAGCAACGGGAAGAAGGAGGAGCTCCAGAAGAGCTTAAACATCCTGACTGCCTTCCAGAAGAAAGGGGCTGAGAAGGAGGAGCTGTAAAAAGGCGCGTTAAGGTTTTCCAAGGTTTGGTTGGGGTGGGGAGGGGAGACTTAACTGCTGGCCGTGAGACCCTTGTGGAATATAAGGAGGTGGTGGAAAAAGTGGTATTGCACCAGAATTCTGAGCCCTGAGTATGTCTGGACATTGATGCTGATGTGACCATGCTATAGCCAGTCTGGGGAGAGCTGGAGCGCTTACACACATGGCTAGTGAAGTGTCCCTCAGAAGGAATTGGTGCTATAAAGAGGAGTGTACAACCCAGGTCCTTGACAGGTGTAATTCTAATCCAATTAAAGTTTCAGTGTTTGGGTTAAGTGGACCTAAAGCCATTTAATTTTCTTTTTCAAATTATACTTTGGCTTATGACTTGCTGTCCTTTTTGGATTTTTTTGTTGTTGTTTTGCTTTCTTCTTTGAATCAAAGCTGGTACAGATGGACTCCACTCTCCTAGGGTAACAAACTGTCCTGGTAACACTGGAAACTGGTCCAAGTTCAAGGCATACCTTTCTTTGCTTTGTTATTTTCCAATGATGTTCAGACTCACGTGGACTGAGTGGTAAAATGTGTTGCCCAGTTTCTGGTCCTTAAAACTCAGCAACATTGAACCGTGGTATAACTACTTTCCATGTTCTATGACAGAATGAGGTCCGTCCAGAAAGTATCCAGCCATTGTTATATATTACATTGTCACATTACATGACAGGATAGACCTTGTACATACAGCAGATTCTTAGTTTTACTGATATAATCTATTTTGACATTGGATTTAGATGGTTAAATGATCTAATTCAGTCCAATTTGAAAGTTGAAAAAAAATTGTTTTCCATCTAAGTCACTTTGTCTCTGTCAGTTACTCAGTAAATATCACCTTCTAGACAGCAGAGTACAGAGCATTGGGCTTTCCAAGTCTTCTCTCGGGAATTATGAGCAATTACCTGCAATAGCGAGCTTCATGACAGCCCCACTATTTGAAAGTGTCATCAGACTGCAGCTCCGAGAATATGTCTAATTGTACTCAAGCAAAGAAATTTAAGTTGAATGGAGTTAGCAAATAAAACCTTGGATTGTTTATTTTCCTCTGTTTTATCCAGATGGTATTTAAAGAATTTAAAGTCACTGAAAACAAAAAAATAGAGGAAAATCCATGTGTTGAATTAGATGGAACAAAAAAATGGGGTAGCTTAGGCAAACAATTCAAACCAACTGGGTAAAAGATGTTCAAACCTAAACATCCACCTGCCTGCAGCCATCATAATGTGCTCTACGTACAATGAAGAATTATATATTTAGTCTAATAATTTCAATATTCCCCCTTTCTCATTATTTCAATTCTAATTGAAACTTCTGGAAGATCTTTTTGGATGCTTCTTACAGGTAAAATAGCTTTAGCTGTTCTAGTTTTTTCCATCTTCATCATCTAAAGACCACTTCTAAAAGGTAATTCAGTGTTTTATGGACATGAGAATACAACAGCAAATGGCAGGTAGGGAAAGGACTCTCAAACTAAAGGCATCCATACTCCTAAATGTGGTCTTATCTTGATTCTCAGTTGTGAGAAGAATGAAAGACAGGAAGGTGGCAGTATATATCCATGGGTACTTTATTGGATGGGTGCAGGCTGGGTATCGTTATTTACTTCTACTTCTTGGCATCTAATAAATTAATGCTGTGGCTCAAGTGCTGCTGTTCATACTAACGAAGGCTAGGGACTGTCATCCCAGACTCAAACAAAGTACTTAGAATTTTAAGGGAATTTCCTGAGAACCTAAAGCAAAGCAGACACTGTATTCAACATGAAGAATTATGTCCTCAGGAACTTAAAATTTGTCTCAAATGGTGCCAAGAATAATTTTAATTTACAAATAGTCCTTGGTAATTGGTACCACAAAAAATGTCGGAGTTGGAATCGCATCAGGAAAGATTATTCATGGAGAACAAAGATAGAAACTGGGAATTTGAACATGGCCATCAAGATAAAGTGGGCCAGGTATGGTGGCTCACACCTATAATCCCAGTACTTTGGAAGGCCAAGGCGGGAGGACCCTTGAATTCAGGAGTTCAAGGCTGCAGTGAGCTATGATGATGCCACTGCACTCCAGAGCAGGACCGTGATTCAAAAAAAAAAAAAAAAGACTAACAAACAATGTGAGATGGTGTAGGGGGATCTGGATTTTAGCTCATTCCCTCAATGCTTAAGAGTATGAATCGTTTGCAGGAGACTTGGATCCCAACCTTTACAGTAGCCTTATCTGCAGGAACAAACTGCTGTACGAACCCCACAAATCATTTGTATAGGGCAACATTTGGCTGAGGTAGTTTACCCTCCATTCATCATTATAAAATACATGTCTGCATCAAGGCAGTGACAGTATCTTAAAAAACAAGGAACATAAAGTATAAACTCCAGCCCATCTTTTGGGGAATATTAAGAATGGCAGTGGGGTGTATTGAAATACCTGCCTTTTGTTAAAGGAAAGAACACTGGGGATAGAGTAAATTTATAAACCAAAGAAGCAGGCAAAAACTGACTCTTCAGGACTCATGTAAGGGAACTTAATATTACAGGACAGAAAATAAACTAGGAGGAAAAACAAACACTTCCCTGTTTACCCTGTGTTGTCAACATGCCTGAATATTATGTTGAATCTCAGCTTGTGGGTTTGAGTACCCTTGGATAAATCATGTCATCAGCCTGCCTGAAATCCTCCAGTAACTTCCCACTAAGTTCAGAATAAAATCTCATTCCTTCCCCTGGCTACAAGGTCCTGACTGATCTGTTCCTCACTCTTCTTTCTATCTCAGTCCTACCCCTCTCCATTACTTTCATTAAGTCCTAGGCAACTGAGCCTTTTTCCAGTTATTGGAACATGCTGTTCCCAAGCAGTTTCCTACCTTGGGGTATTCACACTTGTGTTCCTTTTTCCATTGACTGACTCTTTATCATTCAGGTCAGATGTCACCACCTCTTGAGAGGTCCTCTCATGACCCAGTCTGAAGTGACCCTATAGACACACTCTTGTCACATACCCTAATTTACTTTATTAAATAGGACTTAATTACAAGCTAATATTTATTTTTATGGCCTGTCTCAGCCACTAACTAGGATATAGGGTGTCATTTATCATTATGTCAACAGAGCCTAGACTGGAATCTGGCATTGAGCTAATTAGTGCTCAATAGATATATGTTGAATTAATAAATGTAAGTATGGAAGGTACTATTAAACTGAAAAGACTGCCTTGGAACAAACATTCCACATCTTCAAATATTAAAAATTCTCTGCAGATATAGCACTCAATACAAAATTAAGATGAATTACATCATTCAGAAAGTTGTGGCTTCTAACAATTTGAACAAAAATGAACCAGGCAGAAATGCCAACTTAAAATGAAAATGTTTATATAAATTAACCCATCCAGTTTGAAGAAGATTTGCTATGTTTAACTTAATTTTGAAGAAGGAAGAGTATATACTTCCCATATTAATAAATCACATCAAATAAGTAGGAAGTTTCAATAACAAGCCTGTCAATACATTGAAACCCCTTTTTATATTAAAAGTTAAAATGAAAGACAAATCCAGATTGAACATAGTTGATTGCAAAATATAATGCAATTTTGAACATTTAAAATTATGAAAATATACAAAATTGATGGGCAACACAACTAGGCATTTATACATTTTCCATTATGTGGAGAACACTAAAAATTTTTCTACTTTTTATCCACATCAGATAAATGATTTAAACCAAATGTTTGCTTTGGAAAGTCTTAACTTAGGATCTCAGTAGTATAAAAAGCATTAATTTTTCAGTCTGTAAACAGTAGTCGTGTTTTTTCTCCTTTCTTTTTTTTTTTTTAAATATCAATTTTTACCACACAAAAACAAAACAAAAAAACCCATACAAACCAAAAACAGCAGCAGCAGCAATGGGTTATTTGGGAATTCTTTTTAAATACCAATGACATAACGATTGCTGGGAGAGGGTGCTTTTTACTCATGTAAGAATATATATAATATATATATATTTTTAAACTGTACACAATTTATAGTGCATGACAGTTTCCAAAAGAACAGATCAATAAGATATTGGCCATTTCTGCATAATTTCATTCTTTTTACAATTAATCTCAAAAGGTGAGAGCTGGATCTAATTGAAATGCTACATTTAGTAGGAAAATCAGCAAGTAACGAAAGAAGCATAACCTCAACGTAACATTATTTGTCATTAAAACCGGTAAAGGTTCCAGATACCTCCAGGCAAGAGACTGGTTAGGTAGACCACTAGAGTCACCCACTGTCCCTGAGGACGAAGGCCAGCCCACTGAGCATACATATGCTAGATTGATCATGGTCAGTTGATAGACTTTTTCAAAGAGCATTTCTACAGTACAGTACTTTTTTGGATATTCAAAGAAACATCATTTCAAGAACACATGCCATACACACACGTACCCCAACCCCCCCCCAGCAGACACACACAATGTTCCATCTAAAATAGGCCATAGTTTTATGAAATTATGATACGTTGTCATTAAATGACATTTAGAATCAATCAGAATTTTCAGTTCATCTTGTTCAAGATAGTTCTTTTTGGGATGGGGTGACAACTGTGGCTACCCATTTGTATCAAAAATAAATTTCTGAAATTACTTGATGGACTAGGATTTCCAACAAGTCTTATTTTGAACAAGTAGTAATTTTTTTAAAATTTCCTTGGAAGTTTTAACAGTTACCGATCACCATATCAAACTGAATCTGAGAAAGTCAAGAAAGGGAAAGATGCAGTTTCCTTGCATACAAAGATTCTCCCAGCTCTCTCTTGGTTGCTTTTAAAAGAAAAAAGTGTCACATTTCACTGGAGCAGTGCATTGGAAAGGACCTTTAAGGTCTTCCAAGACCAATCTTCCATCACATGCTTGAATTTCCACATCAAATTCATTTCTTTGCTCTTACAGAATTACTAACTTGAACTGCATTTAGGTAACAAAGACCAAAAACAGAAGCAGGGATTCAAACACAAAAATGTTATCAAAGAAACTGTGTAACATTTTCAAGAGCAATATATATCTCTTCTATCAGACCAACCTCTGAAGCTATAGTCTTGGGGACCTCCAGGTGAACAAAGTAAACAGCATTCTGGTTTAATTCTCCATGTTTGAAGAAAGTAGACCAAACCTCAAACCCACTGGATAACTTTTCTTTTGCCAATCTAAAACTTAAAACCTAGGTTAAATCCATAATATACATTCCTTCCTTCCCAAACCCCACTTAAAAACACTAAAGTATTAAATCTTAATTATCAAGCATATATATATACACACACTCATATATATATATGACTCATGAATCAATTGTAGTATATGACCAAACCAATGAAGTTAAGTATCAGACTTGCCCGCATAAATTATGTACACCTCTCTTTGTTAAAACAGTGACTCCTATCTTTCCCAAATGGATGAAACACAGCAAGCTAGGCCTCAGCAGGCTTATTAAGTGGTCTGCACTGCTTTCCCCTCTAAACAGCTATAAATTAATAGTCTTACTTGCCTCCCTATCTGAGATTTAACTCTTACAGGAGATAGGATGAAGATGTCTTGGCCATCAGGCAAAAATTAAGCCAAAAAATGAGTGCCTGTGGTCCTCTGAGCTGTGCCCTTTAGTGGCAGGTACTTAAGCCAAATCTCATCTAAGGCCCTTTGTGTACCTGTTCCATAGGAGCCAAGCAGCTAAGGAAGCCTCAAAACAAACCTGCTGCTGTGAAAAGAGGGCCTGCACCCAGTCATGGTCCCCTCTGCTTCCTGTGGCTCAAGGACCAGACCAAAACTTCCACTGCTGTAATGGGAGGGCTATTCAGCTGCTATGAGGTCGATGCTTTATGCTTAATTTCTATTGCTTCTATAGAACCCCCCCAAGATGTTTCAGGTGATGAGAGGGAAGAAAAGTAGGGTTCTCTTGTTGCTGCCATATGCATATGAACATGTATAAAAAGTGGTCAAACCCAGATGAGGGTCCTGCTTCTGATTTATATACAATAATTTAATCAGTTGTATATATTTAATACCTAAAAAAATTAATTCACGATCAAAGTCCTTCATGCATTTTATGAGGAAGATCTGGATTAAAGTGATGGCCAACCAGATGTTGCTTTTGCCTGGGAAGATGGTATCATTTTCTGTTGTAGCAGTTCACACTTCCTTAAATTTTTAGTTTCTTTGTGGTCTCAAGTCTTTTTTTCAGCAGCTCCCCCATTTCCAGAAGTGAATGCAGATAACTGCTCTGCACCTTTCCTTGAACAGTCTTTGAAAATTTTCTTTCTTCCTATAAAGAAGACAAGAGTAATTATTGTTCCTCAGATAAAAGTTAAAACTACTATTACCTTTGGTCTCATTGTAAGTTCTAGCAGAACAGAGTGGGTGGGTCATTTTCAATCTCATGAAATGCAAAGAAAGCTAAAGTTCATCACAAATGTATATTTTTTCATGTGATTTTTCAGAGACCCTATTTATTTAACATAATGATTCTTTAAGGTAACCCTCTGTTACAAGTTATATAAAGTAGAAAAACTGAGATTT